AGAACCTTGGATCGGTTCACAGGCAGCCAAACTGAAGCCCCTCACAACCTGTGTTTCCTATTGAAGGAAGAGGAGGAGCGGAGAGGGCATCAGGTCAGGTCCCTATGAGCAGGACTGCAAAAGAACAGCTTTGCAGAAGGCTCCACATTTGCTTGATCTATCCTCAGTGCTACGAGTCTTGTTTTCTTTGCCACTCACAGCAATTTATCTGCTATCAGCTCAAAATGTTATTCCCCCTGCCAAGAGATGATTCACTGCCTTTCAGCACCAGGTGAAAATAAGACTGGGGCATTAGGCAATGCTCAAGCAGCCAGACTTGTGTTTCATTCAGTAATCTCTAGCAAGTTGCTCGTTTGCTGTGTACTAGTTTCCCCATCTATGAGCGTGTCTACACGAGATGCTTAATGCCCATTGGACTATTTCTACCGTGCATGGGCACAGCTGACAAAAACCATGCTAATGTGCAGTAGATTAGTCCAATGAGCATTAAGTGTCACACAAAAAGTGTTTATCTGCACTAATGAGCAGTACTTTTAGTGCAATGGGCATTAAGTGTTACCTAAAAAGATCTGCGCTAATGCACAGTAGCACCAATTTATGGTGCGTTAAGTTAGCACCTGTTATTACAGCTACTAAGCTTAATGTGCCGTAATTATGGTGCATGAATGAATGTGTAGACACATCCTATGAAACAGGCATATTTCTACCACTTGTGAGCAATGATGCAAGGATCCAGCAAATAAGGATCCCAAGTGTTTTGAGAGCCTTGGCCAAAAGGCTAAAGCCAAAAAGCAACACACTGGAAGGAGTTGTGCTTCTTCAGATGGTCTTTAGTTCAAAGTTTCTTTCCCTGTTGAGAAGGCAAAAGTACTTCACATTTGTGAGTCATCCATTCCATAGCAGAACTTTCCACCAAGATTTAAAAACAAAGCAAACCAGCAACGCAGACATCTAAAGCTTACCTTCCCAAATGCTTAATGGCTTTCTTGGTGTCAGGTAAAGACATGGCAATGCTATACCTTTCCATGACAGCTGAGCAAGCTCTGAATGAGCTAACCTGGGAATCAGGAGCTACACTACCATGGTACTCTGCCCAAGCTAGTTACCACTGCTGTGCTCAGAGGTAACGCAATCATCTCTACATGGCACCGTGCAGACAAACCCCAACGTGCATCCTGAACGGTTTAGACAACGGTGACTTTTTGTACAGGAAGTCCAAGGAGTCAGCTGCATTTTTCCTTACTCCCCTCACCCCGCAAGACACAAGCTCAAGTCAAAATCCCACCGTTTGGTACAACTACAGAGGTTGCCTTTAACAGCTTCAGGAGTGAAAAGCTACTTAGTCTGAAGGGAGAAGTGGCAAAGATGTTTTCCCACAGAGAAAGCTGTTCATGGAGGCTGAGGAGTTCTGCCTGGGGAAAGCCTTTCATCTCCTTGCCCCAAGGATTTTGTCATCTCTTTCTCTGGGTGCCCAGCAGCCAATGGCCTGCCTTTTGTTCACCCCTCTGCACACCAGACTCTGGACAAAGGTAAGGCTAGAGTGAGTGCTGAGCTTTCAGTGCAGCTGTATCCCAAACAAGATGCTTCCTTCAATCTATCCACCCCATCACCAGTGCTAACCAGCAAATTGCAGGTGGAGAAGACAGTCCAAGCGTGTGTGCGCGCGCACACACACACACACACACACACAGTTTTTAAATAAGGTTCCTACACTGGGAAAATCCCAGGTCCCAACTTAACATACTGTATTAGTACCATGCTTTTGGCAGCCTGAACACTGGAACAGATAATCTAGCCTGCAGCACAGGGGAGAGGCAAAGTGCGTGTGCCCAGAAAGGCCACAATGTCAAATGGACTGTGCTCTGGCTCTGTCTCACCGGTCCACATGCGTGTGACTGATAGGCCCTTCCTGGTTAGGAACGGGGCACTGAGAAGGATGCTTGCTGTGCTGCAGCCTTTGATGTGCATGCTTTGGGGATGATGAAGCACTGGACTCTTTACTCCAGGACGCTTTACTCACCTTCTTTACTCACAAGGTTCACAGGTGCAGAGAGCTGGAAAAATGAATCCCTTTTCAGGCCCCCTGAAAGTCAACCCAACATACTCCATCAAACCTCCTCCTGCCTGCTCTCCTCGTGTTGGCTTCCCAGTCCAAAACTTGACAGTCAGAGAGGAATTCCTGTGTCAGCATTCTTAAGTTCTTCCAGGATGTGATGACAACCTCAGTCTCAGTTTCAGAGTCCACTCCGTGCCAAGAAGGATCTCCGCAGAAGGAAAAACCATTATGACACTGAAATGTAAGGATATGTGGTAGAAATTAAATGATGGCTGAAATCCATCACTGTTGACTATAATTAACTCTATGGAGCCAGGAAATCAGGAGGGAGTTCCTGAGCTAAGACACTAATGCATTTTGCACTAGCACTGAAAGACACAGACTCAGGACTATCCGTTCCCTAGGGGGAGATTCACTGTCTGATGAGGGCAGCAAGACCACTCTCCTGCCTCGTACCGTTATAGCAAGACTTGCTCTCCCCCAGGCGCTGTCAACTGTGCAACTGGAAATACCAGTATATGTGCCCACACGACCCATACGCTGCATTCACAAGTATAAGCTGCTGATCTTTGCTCAGGCAAGCAGCTTCTTTCTGAGGTTGCAATAGGAGGATTAAGTAAGAGGGAAACTTCTGGCACAGCTTGGACTTCTGCTTACATCCCAAACAGATGGCAGCTTTGCTACGTTTGCCTGAACTACTGAAATACTTTTCCCAGAGTATCTGTTTCTAAGAAAACTTCTGTAAAGTCACACACTTTGTAATTTAGCCCCTAGATCATATGAGCACAGTCCTCGCA